TACATAGAGAAAGGGATGGAAAAGCATTCCACACAGAGGGAAGATGCTGTGCTATTCATTCAAAACATGCTGTGCATGCGAAGACACAGAAGGAGGAAAAGCCTTGGCCTTTTTAAGCAATCAAAGGCAACCACTGTGGCTGGCTAGAATGCAGCAGGAAGGGATGCGAGCAGAGCAAAGAGAAGGAAGAGAGCCATGCTCCGGCCAAAGCGCACAAGGCCTTGAGGCCAGTCTGATAGACAATGCTGCACTCAAAATCAGATCATGGCACTGCCTCTTACATTTCTCCCCTACATTACTGATGCAGTAATGTACTAATTTCTAGTTATAACATTCAGGGACCTTCTGGTCTGGATGCTGCTGGTGTTTCTAGCCTTGTACCCTGAAACAACCCACATTCACATGCAATGTATATGTTCCAGTTGTGTCTTTTTGGCATGTCTTGTTTCATGCTTTTTCCTCAATTGGAAAAGCTCCTCTCTGTGTGGTGACCACTATTCCATCCTCTCAGACTCATCACAAGTTTTATAGGAAGAGTTAAGATGTTGCCTTCTGCTATTTCTGAGCCAACCCTATTGTAACCTTGGACTGCTTTACACTTCTCACACCTTTGTCGGGGCTTCTGGAGGGTATCAGAGTCTGGTCTGGTTTTTGTTTGTTTGTTTGTTTGTTTTTTCTGAGACAGAGTCTCACTCTGTTGCGCGGGCTAGCAGCAACCTCGAACTCTGGAGCTCAAGCGATCCTTCTGCCTTAGCCTTTGAGTAGCTGGGACTATGGGCATGTGCCACAGTGCCCGGCTAATTTTTTCTCTATATTTTTTTGTTTGTTTCCATTTTTTTAAATTTCAGCATATTATGGGGGTACAAATGTTAAGGTTACGTATATTGCCCATGCTCCCCTCCCCCCTCGAGTCATAGCTTCAAGCGTGACCATCCCCCAAATGTTTCACATCTCACTCATTATGTTTGTATATACCTATCCCCTCCTCCCCCTCCCACCTACCTGACACTTGATAAATGTTATTCCTATATGTCCACTTAGGTGCTAATCCATTAATACCAATTTATTGGGGAGTACATGTGATACTTGTTTTTCTATTCTTGAGATACTTTGCTTAGTAAAATGGGTTCCAGCTCTATCCAGGAAAATACAAGAGGTGCTATATCACCATTGTTTCTTAAAGTTGAATAGTATTCCATGGTATACATATACCACATTTTATTAATCCACTCATGTATTGATGGGCACCTGGGTTCCAATGAATTTCTATTTTTAGTAGAGATGGGGTCTCACTCTTGCTCAGGCTGGTTTCAAACTCCTGACCTTGAGTAATCCACCCTCCTCAGCCTCCCTGAGTGCTAGATTATAGGTGTGAGCCACTGTGCCTGGGCCAGAGTCTAGTATTGTGTGTGGCTGTAGTCATGGTGCCTGATACACAGCTGGCATTCAATCCATGTTGAAGGCAGAAAGACAGGTAGCTAGTTTTGTCTAAATGCACCAGAATAGAATACATGACATTCCTCTGATTCAATGTAGTTTAATACTTAGTTTATTTTTAAAAAATAAAATTAGATTCCACAAACATTTGAAATATGACTTATATATGTGATATATTAGATCAGTTACTTGTAAACAATGCTTAATCAGCACAGAAATTCCTAGCCAAAAAAAATGCAACATAACATAAAAGAAACGAATTCTGGCTCTGCTACTTGTTACCCCTAAGACCTTATGGTATACAGCACCAAAATTCCACTCTCTGAATGTGCAGTATAGGCTGTGCCTAGTGGACCGCAGAGATGTGCTCACTTTGCACAGGAGGAATATAAGGTTGTTCTTTAAGAGTTGAACCAATTAAAGTCATATTACCCATCTGTGGGAGGTAACTGTGGGCTGAAAAACCCAAAATTTATCACAGGGCAACAATGCTGTAATCTTGGCAAGATTGAAATATCACCACCATTTAGAAAACTGGAATGCTTGAAGCTTTCCAGAATTCTTGTAGGTACTTCTATTCCTACCAGATGAATAGTACGCTTTCCAAGAACCAGGTACTGCATTTTGTTTCCAAATCTGTTTAGGCCTGTCTCTTTGTATTATTGCCTTTCTCTCTCTCATTCATCTCTGTTCATTCATTCAAAAAATATTTATTGTGCACTTATGATGCATGTGCTGGGATGGAGTGATGAAAACATTTTAGTGAAGAAAATGGCATAAACAGATACATAATGCCAAGGAGAGACAAATGACTTGGAGAAAATAATAAACAGGTAAGAGAGTTTTCTTAGTCATGAGAAAGGAATATTCTCCTCTCCAAGTGAATATACCAGCTTTCTGGTTTATACTTCAGCTTCTTGTGAGTTTGGAAAGTACAAGTTAATGCCTCTGGTCTTTGTGCACTGACAAGAATGACTATATGACCAGAAAGCCCAAGAACAGCCTCCGAATTGTGGTCATTTCACCAGGGCTGATCTGCTGTGAGACCTTGCGTGGCTGCCAGCTGGTCTCCCCCAATCATATTTCACCATTGCCCCTCTCATATTAAAATAAACCTTTTAGCCCAACATCAGCACAGGGAGTGCTTTCACCAGGATGACAACACAAGGCCAAGTGCATTCCATTCACGACCAGACAAGGATTCAGAGTGAAATGTAACTGACACAGCCTGGGCTCTTCATGACCTTCAGATGCCAGTGTCAGTCAATGGTTCTAAAGGAAAACTAACCTCTGCTTATAGTGCCATATTCATCTGGAATGCATTACTACATGAAGAAATGGAAGGGACATGATATTTTAGAATTTAAGAGCCAACTCTGTGGTGGATCACAGAGGTGCCTGAGGAAGGAAAAAGAACTGAAGCAGTGCCCACAAGGCCTAGAAGTCTGTGATACTATAATCGACACTGACAATGCTGAAATGAAAATTCACTTCTGCTTCTAGTGAGCATGTTCTTGACTAGACTAGAATACTGGAAGAAGTTTCAGTGAACTAAACTCTTACTCAACTCACAATAAACATTCAATTCAATAAGGCCGTCATGCCATGGGAAGAGAGTTTATAGTCCTGATTTGGTAATTAGACTACCACGTGGCTGGAATGACTCTTACACACATGGCAACCTGACATACTGCAGCAGGACACACTTAAGCAGAATAAAGTCTAAGGTGACGTGGACATTGTGAAAACTGATATGCATGGTGTTGCACATCATGGTGATGAAACCAAGCACACTAGGGTTTCACCAGGCTCATAGAGAGTCTTATTGTTTTGGACAAGACTCTTCTACTATTTCCAAAGAATCTCTATCTAATTCCAATGACTGTCTCTAAAAAGTCCCTTATGAAAAGACTATAAACTTCCCTGCAGAGATTTGTTTTATTTTTCCATTTTTTTGTTTGCTCTAGCATCACAATCTTCTAATATGACTTTATCAGAAACTCAATTTTTCCAGAAGATCTAACTTTAGATTCTCCCAAAGTCACTGAAGAATCGATTCTAATTTCAACTACAGGCCTTTTTAAGTCATCCTCCACCCCAAGCTCAAATCAACTACTGCAACATTGTCTGAGGTTTAATATTCACACTATGTATTCAGTTCTACTATTGAACTTAAATATTAGCTTATTTGAACAACCTGTGGCTATCGTTTAATTTAGGATATTTTTGTTTTATATGGAATTTTAAATGTTTGCAATATAGCAAAATTTTAACCCCCCATCAAAGTTCCTTGGAAAGGAAAAGTAGTATGTGGAAGTATCTTAAATGACTTGTAGGTCAGAACATATAGAGTCTTCTGCTGAGTAACAGAGTAAAATAACTTTGAGCAACATGAACTGAAACATAAAAAGCAGTCTAATTTCAGAGTGTTTTCACTCCTAAACCCATACAAAATTCTAGTGAAACCATCTAAGAGATTGTATTACCACTCAGAAAATATTATAAGTGACATGTCAAAATAGAGATTTACATTTAATTGATTACTGAGAAAGTGGAGTATTGTTTTCATGCAAACAGAGATTTCAAAAGGTATGATAGCTTTTGGTCTACTTTTTTCAAGCCTAAGAAAAATATATGCATACAATTTCTTCTCTTTAAATGCCTTTTATTTGAAATTGAGCCAAAGATAATCAAGTAGATATAATGTCATTTGAAAAATAAAGAAAAGAAACTATGACATAACCAAATGGTTGATGAAAGGAAGTATTTTTCCATAGAACTATTGCAGCTAATGAAGAAGAAATGGTGGAATTAGTAAATCATTATTTTGCAAACTTCTAACAAGAGAATGAATTTGGCAATGGTCATTAGTGCCCACTAACAACATGGAAAACCAGATATGATATACTTCTTGATAGAATATGCAATAGCATCTATAAGGTAGATCAAACTAACAGGGTATAGGAAACAGGGGACAGAGGAACATGATAAATAAAAGCCTAGCAACTCAAACAGCAAAATCTAAAATGTGGGAAACTCCACAGGACAAATGACCTGGCTTCTTCAAGAAATAAATTACAAAGCAGGCAAATGGAGGATAGAAACCTCCAGATTAAAAGAAACTTGAGAGACATATCAAAGAGGATGCATGCAATTTGTTTGGATCCTCATTCAAACTAATTGTAAATGAACAAATGAATTAATGACAATCACAGAAATTAGAATTACATATGTGATGATACTGAGAAATTATTGTTAACATTTTTAAGGGCATATTAGTAGCACTGGAGTGTTGTTTGAAAGACTATTTTTTATCTTTTAGCAATAGTCATAATGTTTTTAACGGATGGTTTATAAAACATCTGAGGTTTGCTTCACAATAATCTAGTTGGTAGGAGAAGGGTGCTTTAGATGAAACAAGAGTGAACTGATGGTTGCATAGCTGAGTATTGGGTACATGGGCTTCACCATGACATTCTAATTTTGTATGTGTTTGAAATTTTTCACAATAAAATGTTTTTACAAATTAAAAGGTTTTTTAAAAAGTGACAGAAAAGACTTACCCTGTTGGATATCCTTCATTTCTAAATGTAAACTAGATATCAAGATTCCCACAGTTTGAGATCGTTTTCCATCCAATAACTTGATGATCTGGAATTTAAAATAAATAAATATAAGCTCAAACGAACACACGATCTTTCAGAAAGTATACCAAAAACATTAAGATTTTTTAGATACACTGACTAACTAAGTTGATGCTACATGCATTCTAAACAATAATAAAAAGTAACTTAACCATAATCACAGACATTTGACAAAATAAATACCACACAAAATTCCACCAGCCTAATACAAACACTAAAATCTTCGTAATATTTTACTGTTTTTATTCGAAGACATTTTAACTAAGTTGTAATGGCAATATGATGCACAATGTCATATCGAACTTTTTCATGTAGCATTGGAATAGTTTCATATTGCTACTGATGAAATCACTTCATAGTCTCCAAACCTTTTAGGAATGTTATCTGCTGAGTGATTTAGAGGGGAAAACATTCTGATCTTGAGTCAACCATTTACCAGTGGTATGGCCTTGGTAAAGTGACCACCTCTAGGAATTGGACTTCTACATCATGAAGTATGGCTGACTGTATTTAGTTTCTACATTTATTTTAGAAACTAAATGACACTGTATGCAAAGCACCTAATATAGTTCTAGACATAGTTATTATTTAAATAAAATTTCCGTGTTACGGAGGTTGCTCCGTGTGTTATTATTAATATCAATAATATAATGCTTTGTACACAAAGCTTTAAAGTTTTTTTTTATAATAATATATACATATATCAAAATTTTTGCAATCTTTTTAGAAACTTCAAATACTTCACTGTCAATTATTTCAACTTTTATAAATATTCTATGGAGAGGCCTACATAGTTTTGTATTTCTATAAGCCTAGGAAAGCAAGTCAGCTCCTAATAACATATCACACAGTGGCCACTAAGGGAAAAAAATGATATTTTCTGTCATGTGGCAGGGCTACAAAATTCGATAGGAAGTACACATAAAACATTACCAAAGCTTATAAATGTTTTTAATGGACTTTGCTGGGTAAAATACAAACTAAGATAAATAGCTATGCTTCCTTTCCCAGCTAGGCACTTAAAGACTTGTCAAAATATAGTGAAGGTGAGACTAAACAGTAACAAACATATACATTTATATCAGTACTATTCTAGCTGAACTGCTTGCTGGTTGAATGATAAGGAATAACAAAAGTTTGTTCCAATTAAGATTATCTAACAGTCTAATTGTCTACCTACCTATTTATTGATTGATCCTGTTCAATTATTGCCAACCCTTTTTTTCTTCCTCTGTTCAGAGTGTCTACTTTCATGTAATTATTAGACTTTAAATACAGTAAATATTAAGCTTCCATCAAAGTGTAAGGAAAATCCAATTTTGTAGGTCTAATGTGCTTAATCATTTCAATACTTGCCTTAGAGAAAGATTCTTGAGGGATACAGAATATCAGGAGCTTTACAGAGAAATACAGAAGGTACCTCGTGCTTTTATTTATTTTTTTATATGAAAGAAAAAGAGATTAAGCACAATCAAATATCTTCTTTAAAAATGCTATTTCTGTATTTTTCTTAGAAAACCCAAATTTAAAGTCAATTTTTAAAAGTCCAACAAAAAAATTAAGAAAATCCAAATTAGTTTTATGTAAATATTCAGTCTGACAAATCAAGTCCTAAGAAGTTTGTATCACTATGCTAAAAATGTTGTAAAGAGTCAAAAAGGCAAATAAAATGATCACCTATGCTAACTGGAGAGAGCAAATTTAAAAGGAGAAAGGCTTTGAGAATTGGCTAGATTTATTCTTAAGTGTCCAGGATAGTGACCGTTATGACCTCAGCCAGGGCATACACACTGATGTCAAGTAGACAAGTACAAGTATCAAATTCATTACCAGATCACAACTGGGTTGCATAAGTTTCTTCACAAGAACATGCTGAAAACTACCAGTAACATATTCTGCCTAGAAGAAACAATGTCTAAATACAAGTTTTTCTGTTAGCTAATTGAAATGGAGAGACAGACAGACAGAGACCATAAGAGAGTAAAAGAGTGACAGAGAGATACTAATTCTGCCTGTCCCTGGGTAATGTCAAGCAAATCCTTCCCTATCTCAATGTCATTATTCAACCAGGCTGAACTGTGAGCCATTCTTGGAATTTTGTATGGTGACTTGGTGTGGCAGGTGCCTGGTGAGTGTTATCTTTGGCTGCACTAATGCCTGAAGAGTTTTTCTGAAATGTGGTACTGCCTTCTATAAAGGGGTAGGCAGCGGTGAAGTTAAAGCATTTGTATTCTCTTCTCTATCTATACCAAATTCTCTGTCTACTTCTGACTAGACCTTCAGATATATCCTTCTAAGTTCTATGTGCCACTCTTTAATTGTGAAATAATACCAAGTTTCTCAAGACCAACTAAATGGTAGGAACACAGTGGACACTGAATTATGTGTCCTAAATCCTTTTAGTTTCTTCCATTTTTTCCTCTCATGGATTTGAAGGCTTAATACTAAGTTTTTATTATTATTGTGAAAAGCACATAATATGAAACGTACCCTATTAACAAATTTTTAAATGTATAGTACGATATTGTTAACTGTGAGCACAATGTGGTACAACTGGTCTCTAGAACTTTTCATCTTAACTAAAACTCTATACCCATGGAATACTAATGTCTCAATTTCTTTTCCTCCCAGCCCCTGGCAACCACCATTCCACTGTTTGTTCCTTTGAGTTTGACTACTATGGACATCTCATATAAGTGAAGTCATACAGTATTTGTCCTTCTGTGACTGGATTATTTTAACATAGCACAGTGTCTTCAAGGTCAATTGCTGTTGTAGGAAATGACAGGATTTCCTTCTTTTTTATGGTTGAATAACATTCCATTGTACATATATACCACATTTTCTTTATTCCTTCACCCATCAATGGGCATTTAGGTCTCCTCCTCTTGGGTACTGTGAATGTTGCTGTAATGAACATGGAAGTGCAGACATTGCTTCAAGATCTTGATCTCAATTCTTTTGCATATATTCCCAGAAGACAGATGGACAGATTCTATTTTTTATTTTTCATCAAAACTCCACGCAGTTTTCCATAGTGGCTATACCATTTTACATTTCCAACAGTATACAAGGGTCCCTATTTCTCCATATCCTCACCAAAACTTGATATTTTCTGTTTTTTTGATAATGGCCTTTCTAACAGGTATGAGGGGATCTATCTCATTGTAGTTTTGATTGGCATTTCCATAGTGACTAGTGATATTGAGCATTTTTTCCTATACCTGTTGGCCATTTGTATGTCTTCCATGGAGATATATCTTTCTTTAGCCCATTTTAAATTTTTAAAAACAAATTTAGTTGTAAAAGTTCATTATATATTAATATATTGGATATTAACCCCTTATCAGATATATCATTTACAAATATTTTCTCATATTCTGTAGTTTGCCCTTTTACTCTGTTGATTGTTTTCTTTGCTGAACAGATGTTTTGTTTTATGTAGTCCCACTTGTCTATCTTTGCTTTTGTTGCCTGTGCTTTTCATGTCATATCCAGGAAATAATGCCAAAACCAATTTTAAGAAGCTGTTTCCCTATGTTTTCTCCTAAGAGTTTTACATTAATAGTTTTAGGTCTTACATATAAGTCTTTAATCTATTTTGAGTTTAGTTTTATGTATAAGATGAGGGTTCCATTTCATTATTTTGCAGGGTGATATACAGTTTTCCTAACACCATTTGTTGAAGAGACTATCCTTCCCCTATTGTGCAGTCTTGGCACCTTGTCAAAGATCATTTAATGTGTGGGTTTATTTCTGAGCCCTCTATTATGTTCCACTAGTTTATATTGTCTATTTTATGCTAGTGTCATATGTTTTGATTCCTGTAGCTTTGCAATATGTTTTGATGTCAGAAACTGTGAGATCTCCAGATTCTCATGATTGATTTGGTTATTCAGGGTCTTCTGTGGTTTAATGTGAATTTTAGGACTTCTTTACTATTTCTACAAAATTTCCCCAAGGATTCTGCGAGGAAGTGCATTGAATCTCTAGGTTGCTTTAAGAGTATGGAGATTTTAATAACATTATGTCTTTCAATCCATAGATATCAGATGTCTTTACATTTATTGTGCCTTCCCTCAATTTCTTTCAGTAATGTTTTATAGTTCTCAGTGTATAAGTCTTTCACCTCCTTGATTAAGTTTATTCCTAAGTATTTTATTCCTTTTGATGCTATTTTAATGGAAATTTTCTTCATTTCCTTTCCAGATTGTTTTTGTGTATAAAAACACAACTAATTTTGTGTATTGCTTTTTAAATTCTGCAAGTTTGCTGAGTTTTTTTATTGGTTCTAACAGTTTATTTTTTGTGTAATCTTTAAGGTTTTCTACATATAAGATCATGTCATCTGTGAACAGAGATACTCTATTTCTTTTCTAATTCTAATGCCTTTTATTTCTTTTTCTTGTCTAATGGCTCTAGCTAGGAGTTCTAGTACTATATTTAATACAGGTAATGTGAGTATCCTTGCCTTGTTCATGATCTTAGTGTAAATACTTCCAGTTTTTCACCACTGAGTACAATGTTAGATTTGATCTTTTAACATATGGCCTTTATTATATTGAGGTAATCTTCTTCTATTTTTAGTTTGATGAGTGTTTTTTTTTTTTAACATAAAACTATTGGATTTTGTCAAATGCTTTTTCTACATCGATTGAAATGATCATATGATTTTTATCCTTTATTCTTTTAATGTGATGTATTACATTAAAATTCACATGTTGAACCTTCCTTGCATTGCAGGTATAAATCTCTCTTGGTCATGGTGTCTGTCTCTTTTAATGTGCTGTTAAATTCAGTTTGCTAGTATTTTGTTGAGAATTTTTACATCTATATTCATCAAGAATATTGGTCTGTAGTTTTCTTGTACTGTCTTTGGTATCAGTAATGGCTGGTCTCATAACATGAATTTAGAAGTGCTCTCTACCTCTTAATATTTTGGGGAAGAGTTTGAGAAGCATGGCTATTAATTCTCCTTGAAATGTTTGGTAGAATTCTCCACTGAAG